TTTCGTTTACGTTTACGTTACGTTACGTTTACGTTACGTTACGTTCGTTACGTTCGTTACGTTACGTTAGTTACGTTAGTAGTACGTACGTACTTCTACTCTCTCTCTCTCTCTCTCTCTCTCTCTCTCTCTCTCTCTCTCTCTCTCTCTCTCTCTCTTGAAAAGTTGATTAGGGTTTTCTATATTTTGAGATTGTGATTAGTATCCAATCGCATTCTCTGGAATAGCATATTGTTTCTTTACTATTTGTAGCGTCATATTCTGTTGTATTAGGTTTTGTTCGGTGGCATTTTTTTGTGTGAATGGGTCTGTTTGATTTAGCTTTTTCTATTTCCTGCTTATGATGTGCATTTCTTTTCATCGACATTGTTATTTGGTAGTCTTTGTGAACTGATAAGTTAGGGTCTCCTCTCTTGCGAGTTAGGATTTAGCTTCATGGCGTTTTTTCTGTTGACATGATCAATTTGATTTAAAGTTTTGTCCAACTTCTTTTCTGGAAATGGTGTATTTTTGTATATGAATGTTATAGGTTTCCTTCTCTAGCCAGTTAGTGTATTTTTTTTTTTTGGAAAATGGGTGTATTGGTGAATCTTTTCTCTGCTTCCTGATTATGTTTATCATTTTTGACATTCACATTTTTTGTTGGTGGCCCTTGTGTAGCTGATAAGAAAGAGTTACTTCTCTGGCCAATTAGGATTTTCCTTCATGGCCCCCTTCTTGTCCTTTTTAATGGGTTGATGTGATTGTGTGAGCGTTTTCTTCACTCTTATTCTCTGAAAATGGAAGATTTCTCTTTTTTCATCATTAGGTTGCCCGTGGAATTGAATTCTGTGGGATCTCTGATACCCCACCACAGTGCTACTGCTTCGGCATTGCTGAAATCAATGCTCTCTGTTGATCATTGCCGATGGGGTTGGCTTTCAGAAGGTACATTCTTTGATGGATTCCTTGTATTTGTGCTAGCTGTCCAAGTAGAGTCAAATCATCTTATTATTGTAAAAGTTGGTGCTGATCCATTCATGTATATTTGGTCATGGATTTCTTGTTTATTTTTATTTATGTGTTCTCTCTTTCTTCTTGTAATCTGATTGTTTGTGTGAAATGTAGTTTTTTGCTTGCGTAAAATGAATGAGACCATTATAAAATATTGAGAAAATCTGTTCAGCCTCATTGATTCCATCAGAGCCCATACACAAAATGAACCTCTTGTTTTAGGATCTCTGAATAGTATTTCAATACACAGGGTTCAGAATGTACAAGCTACAAGCAACCTTGTGACACCAGTAGAACCTAGAGATTTAAAAAGTCACAAAACTACTAGTATGGTATGAGTTTGGATATCAGTAGAACACTAAAATTATAGACAGAGTGAACAAAAGAAAATTATAACACTGCTAAAAGTTTTAGAAGTACGATTAGGCGGGATAAAGTTTCACCGCACCAAACTGCTCTAATTATGTGGGCCTCGAATATCAACCAAACACCTGATTATGTGGGCCTGGAGTATCAATTCATGCTGTCCTTGACTTGAACACCATTCGCACCCCCTAAGGGTTTGATGATGTCCATTCAATGACGTTTCTTTCCCCACCCCATGTGACACCTGCTCTTGACCTAGATAATTATTATGCCTAAATGAAGCTCTAAAAACTTTGACTCCCGCAAGTCCAATTGGCTTTGGAGATCTTGGATTTTAAAAACCTGCACCTTGCCTATATTAAAAATTTGAAAAACTCATTGGAGATTTTGAGGGACCCAGCAATTATTGTGTTGGAATGAGGGGAGCCTCGAGTCTTGAGCAAGACAAACATCACTTGCTTGGTCTGGCACTGTACAATCACAATGTGCAGTTGCTGCAAACAAAACTGTTTGCAACTTTTTGGGTAGCAAATGGGCGAGATACGGTATGTAAGCCCTAAAGAGTCCTAGTTCATGTTCTACACTTCTACTCATTTGAAGATTAAAAAAGCCCTAAAAAATCATAGATAAAGAGGATTTGGATTTGTTAGTTTTTTTTCAAATGGACATTTTCGAGCATTGGATATTCCGATTCAAAAACCAGGAACTCTGAAGATTTAGGAAGGTGGTTTTGTGGGAATTTTAGTTGAGTTTTTGAATTATCGAAACTAAGAACTAATGTTTTAAAGCTTGCCTTGGCAAAGGTATTTGCCCCTTGGCCGAGGTGAGTAACTCGGCTGAGTATGAGTGGACTCGGCCGAGTTACGTGCACCCTAAAATGAAAGAGTCAAAATAAGTAACAAATTTGTCAAAAATAATTGAAAATCAGAAATATTAAAGGAGATAATAGAAATCATTAGAAGACTAAAGAAGATGAAAAAAAATCTATAAAAGATGGATTATTGAAAAAAAAATTTGGGATCCTAAACTTTGAAGCCCGTATTCATTCTAGACCACGTTTAGGAACCAATTTCAATATCCAATTTCCCCAAAGTTCTTTCAAGAAAAGAAAAAGGCAAGCGAGCAAATAAACCAGCAGTCTGATACCGGCCCCAACTCTAGGTTCCGGCGTCCTGGGCCAACTGGTCCACTCAAGTAAAGAAATATTCCTTTCCTAGTTTTATTTTCATTGAATTGCTTTATAACTAATTGTTTTGGATCGAAAGAGTTGTTGGTGCTGGCGACGTTCTGTAAAGGAATTGGTCACTTAAGATTAATATCTCTCTAGATTGCAATTCAGTCGACCCCTAGAAAACTTACTGAGTGTATAAATTTTATCTAATTTAGAACTTAAAAATTAGTGGGGTTTTGTCTGAAATCTTCTTGCGTTTTGGTTGTGAACACTTGAATATAACAGAAATATTGAGAAAAATAAGGGAGTATGAAAGTCCGGAAATCATCTTAAAAACTATTGAAATCGTTGAAAAACATGTTTCTAACAAATATGTTGGTGTTTTTCAATATTTTTTACCTTTTTAGCATTTTAAATATCTAATGTCTTTTGTTGGTGTTATGTTAGTTTCCCAACTTGCAGCAACTCGGCCTTGGGCATAGCCCGAGGCCAAGTTACTCGACTGAGTACGAGTGCACTCGGCGAGTCCTGCTATACTGCTAAGAACATTTCCAGTGTTTGGATAAGATTTTGACCGTAATTTGTGACATTGGCGATATTGTGGGAATCAAATGTTGATTTTGTTGTACTGTGGTGTATTGCGCTTAATAGTAATTGAATTTCAGAAATCATGGAAGCATCCAAAGTTGAACTTTCTAATAAAATGTATTGCATGAATGGATTATCAAAAGAAACATGCTTTGGAAAATCTTTCATTTATTTGTTTTTGGTCGTCTCATTCTTTCCTTTTTATTTTTAGGATTTTTGTTATTTTTTTTTTCTACTTTTCATAATTTTCAAACAACTCCCTCAGGATTCGTTGACTCGCCTGGTACAAGTCCTATGAACTCTAGATTTTGATAATGAATTATGAGAAGCAAACTAATTGAACTTGATCTAATCCACTTTTTGAATGCTTGTATCTAGCAAAATAATTCAAAAGTAATGAATAAGAATATAGGATTGTGCGATATTCGTTCATCCGGTGAGCTGGTTAACACTGTGACACACTTTTGTTTTTGATAAGCAAATTGGGAGAATTCTACCATGTTTTGGGTGTGTTTCTAGACGATATCCATAGTCGATTTAGTTGTTTGAACAATAGCCATTAATCATTGAGTTTGACTTTGTTTTGATCAATTCATCTAGGCTGAATCAGTTGCTGAGTTCAAGTTTCTGAATGTTGGTTTTAAATGGTTAACAGTTACCCTTTTTGTCCATTTTTTATTTAATACAGTGTACTTTATTTTTAGAATTTTAAATCTTGAACTAGGAAACTTATGCTTCAGTGCATTCCTTCAATGGCTTTTGAAAATGCAGCACCAATTCCCCCATAATGAAAGAGTCCTTGGCTTCTTTCTATCTTTATTGTGCTTTCCACGACAGAGTGGTGCCGATCACTTCCGGTTTCCTAACTTGGGGTGAGGGAAATGTACTCTTAATAGTTGAGATCATTTTTACGTTGTTATGATGAACACCAATGCAACCTAATTCCCTCACTGGCGATATAGGCTCTGGTGCTTTTATGTGAACCTTTGCATATAAATTGATCCAATGCTCCTTTAGTGCAAATATATAGTGCATTCCTCATGTTCCTAGTGATAGGAATGTGTCTTACTAGGGCAGATGATGGTGACGATGATGTGTGGCTGTGTGTGTGTGTGTGAGAGAGAGAGAGAGAGAGAATCAACCTGTCCAACTAATTATGAATTCTTTGGTATCAGGATATCATACATTGTATTTAAAGAGACTTTGATTTTATAATGCAGGGTTTGCCACACCACTATAACATGGCCAGTGGAGCCTGATGAGATCGCAGTGAATGTGTTCCTTGTCTTTCTCCTGGTAACTGCTGTTCTTTGATTATTGTTTTTCTTTTGTTTCTTTCATATTTATACGTTTTTAAAGCGTTTTCGTGAGGCTTCGAATTGAATGAGAATAGCATTTTTTGTACGTGGGTGCATAACATCTCATCTGTGCCAATTTAACTTTGAGGCATCTCTTCACAGGGGGTATGTTCTTTTTGTAAACCAATGAACACCCCACTAGAGAGGTATTGTTAATCATTTACTTGAAGTGTTCAGTAGGAATGAAAACCCACAAGAGGCTTTCATTAATAAAAAGAAATGACTATAGACTATAGTTTCTATTGTGAGTATCTCTCTCTCTCTCTATTTGTATATATCTACATATATGGCAAAAGATAAAGGTAATCCAACTCTCGTACCTCGCCTTTTTGTTACAATGGCCCATATTGAGTTTCAGCTATTGACCCAGATTTAATCTAGGCTGTTAGATGGCCATGTTTGAATTCAATTGAATGCCATTAAGTTTATGAAGAGCGTCAATTTTTCGTTTGTTATACCTCTTCATTGAAAACCTAGTTATCAAGCATTGACATACTGTTCAATTGAACATCTTTATCAAAATTGCACAAAAAGCCTGCTGTTTGACAATTGCCAATCTAGACTGAGAATTGTTGATCTCAATGGGAATATTCGTCAGCCTGGCTAGTTCCTTCTTTAGATGCCCTATTCTCTCTAATTTGCATTAATCCGTATGTATAATATGTAGGTTTGATGATTTAAATCATTAAACAGTATATAAATTTGCATTAATCCGTATGTATAATATGTAGGTTTGATGATTTAAATCATTAAACAGTATATTGCGATGGTTTCTATGCAACTTTCTTCTCTTTCATTTTTTATTTTGTTTACTGTTCTGGATTTCTTATTGGGGCAATCTTTATTACCGGATCTGGCCGATCTGGATTGGTAAAGCCGAGAGCCGTTCCAACACATGGCCATTTTACTATACCATTTTTGGGATGGCATCATGCCCTATTACCAAAGGGGTTTGTATCCCCTGCTATCGTTTTGGTTTTAGACCTTTTTTAGCACCGGGTTTGTATCCCCTGCTATCGTTTTGGTTTTAGACCTTTTTTAGCACCACCCAGACATGAGGATGTAAAAAATGGATGGCCAGGATGTGGCATTGTCCCTTTCGATTTATGTTTGGGATTTCGGACAGGCTTTGAGCGGAGTAATGAAATCGCAGGTTGAGAAAAATGAGAGAAACAAGTGTTAAGAGTCAGACTTATTTCTGGACTCAGGTGCGTTGAGTCGGCTAGGTGTCGGCTCGGTATTCAAGTCGGCTCTTGGAATTTGAATTAAAGGTCAATAAAAACACAAATACAATTCTAAAAAAGGGTGAAAACAAGTACTTTTAGGATTGAAAAATTGTAATACTATGTATGTTGATGATATTTTTTAAGATTTTATGATACAAAGGGTTTTTTATTTGCCAAAATGACATTCATGCAAAAGTTTATTATGGTGTACAGGACAATACTGTTGAGGGGCATTCAAATTTAAGATAACTGTATAGATTTAACTATAACAATAGTGAGTTCTTCGGGAGCATTAAAGTTTGAGATGGTAAGTGTAGATTTTTTTTTTTTGGGTAATTCAATGGGAAAGATATGCTTCTACCTATTTTTTTATATAGATTGGGGAGTTAGCTCTTTTTTGAAGGAATTCAATGGGAAAGACATGTTTCTACCCATTTTCTCATATAGACTAGGGACTTAGCTTTTTTTTTTTAAGGTGTTAGTAGGTGGTGTCGGCAGGATTGGAGCCACAACATGGTAATTAAGTATGGGGGTGCTACCACCTCGACCTAGTCCATTTCCTTATAATTGTATAGATTTAATAACTATACACGATATGAAGCTGATATAAATGTCATTGCAATCGAGATCACTATTGTCTTGAATGTAGTGGTATTGAATAATCCTGTTGGTGGGCCCTCATAACTCAAAAGCCCTAAGGCTAGTCCTCCTCAAGTTTTGGCTTGTGCATCTCAGTAATGTACTCTAGTTTCATTCACACCCCATAGGTCAAGCGGAGCACCTTAACTGCTGCACTTTGTCGGTAGGGTGGTGCTGCACTTTGTCGGTAGGGTGGTCCAAGGCCTCGTACTGCTTACCTCTTTCTTGAAAAATAAAAAAGAACTCATTTGATAGATCCTATATGCCACGCCACTTAAGAAGTGAGAAATAATATACAAGAAATATTAACTTGGGAGTTAACTTGGATCCAGTTAAAAAATTAACTATAAAACTTTTTCATATATTCATGATTTTGGGATTTCTCTGCCAAACTTTTGACGGCTCAAACTGTACAAATATGCAAATTGGTGTTCCTATAAATTTTCCTCGCTCAAGATTCATATGATATGTTCTCTCTCACCTTAAGGTTATGTAGAAAATCTATTTTCATAACCTGTTATAAATTTAAAATTTTTAGAAATAGTAGAGATTGAGCACATCAATAAACACTTGAAAATCTTCAAAATAGACGGTCTAGATAACTTGATAAAAGTTATATTATTTTTTGAATTTGAAATTCTTTTTTTTTCTTTATGTCCATATATCTCAAGTGGGACGGTAAAAGACTTGGTTAGCCAGCGCAAGAGTGCGGGTTTGAGTTCTAAGAGAGGTCACTTTGTACATAAGTCAAAGGTTAGGACCGTTTTCAACTTATTTTTCCTGGGACCTTGCGTAGTCGGGGACGAGCATCGGATTACTGCTCTTTTTTATATCCATATATCTCGAGTTCAAGATGATCAATTAGAGAGTTTTTCAACACCAGAACACCCTCTTCTATTGTATTTTTGAGGTGCAAAATACTATTATATAAGGTTGCAACCTTATATAAAGTTTTATTAAGTTTTGGGTTTCATATTTGGTTAATGTTGTGGACAATTTTATAAAAAAGAATATAATTTTTGTGTCCTTAGAAACGTTAATCATGATATTCATGCAACGGATAGTCTGGAGATGCTTTGGAATGGCTACCAAATTACATATTTTTTTTAAGGAAAAGTCATTCACGAGTCAGCAGGTGCAAGAGCCCGAAGATAGACGTTGTAAAAGGGGCTAAAATGAATTTAGATACTGTAGAAATTTTCTTAGAAAAAAATCACATTTTAAATATTGAAAATTTTATTTTATTTTTCATATTTATAATCATCTTAACCTAAATCATGAATCCCTTAAATTTTGAATTAAAAATTGTTTTTTAAGATACGTTTAAGTGGGGGCCTGCATATGCATAGTATGAGTCGGCTGACTCACGGAAACCGCATCCTTTTTTAAAAATCTTTTGTGTATTTAAATGGACATTAATTGAGGAATAAAACTGATTGGGGATTTTTTCGTCAAACAAATCTCACAAAAACTTTTCTTTGCTTAGGGGGACCAAATGTACAATTTCCGCTATTCAATTGATGCAAATCTTTGCCGTTTATAAAAAGGGCATCGCATCAAGCTTATTTGGATGTAGTCATTATCATTTATAATTGACTGTTTTATTATAATTAATCATGTTTGGAACTATCTTTGGTTTGACAATGTCAATCATACAGTTTATCTCAGATACACTCATAAGAAATTTTATCCATAAGTTTATCTTTTTTAAACGTTGTTTTACTTTATTCACAGTAATATGTTGAAAATGAAATGTTTTTAGTTAGAATAGTTAAAAATGGATGAAAATAATTGAAATATCAAACAATTGTATAATGTTATGCAAAAGGGAAATATATACAATGAGACTATTACTTTGGATACAAGAAGTTCACGATCATAATTTACCATTTGATTTTGAATCGGGTGGTTGAGTTTGTGTCATTGATTGGACACAAAGTCCAAAATAAAATTTCTAATATTGTGAGATGCTTTCATCTGTTGGATTTCACATAATGGTTAAAAATGATTGTCACCTCCTTGTACAAAAAAATAAATAAATGGTCTTCAGTATACATTCCTTAAAAACATGTGTATAGAGCAGCAGAAAAAATAATATTATGTTGGGAATATTAGATAGCTTAGAGTCCTCGTGCTAAATTAACCATCATCTAAAATCTTTTCAGCCTGATGTCAAACATTCTCCCAGTTTTGATGGATTAAATTCGCCCTCAACACTTACCAAAATATCAAAATCTACATGTTTGAACAAGGTAACTCCCAACAACCAAATATAAATGGGTTATGTTAGGGTATTCATACATAAACACTTACTTAATGTGTTTAATATTTTTGGACATTTAATACCTTTATCCTACAAAACTTTGAAGACTTGTAAAAGTGGATATTAAAAAAGTGAGAAATACTAAGCAGGTAACATAGAAAGAAATTACGAATCAAAGGGCTGCACGTTTGCACTCTTGATAAGTATCAGTACTTAAGGTTTTGCGCCAAAGATGAGGTGCATCATCTAACACTCCCACTAAATTCTTCTCCAAATTTACTGCAAATCACTTGTTGGAGGGTAGAAATGTGCTTTAACCCTTCTGGAAGCATCTTCAAGCTAGGACAATGTTGGATATTCAAAGTGTGAAGGTCTGGCATGGATCCTTCCTCCAATCCTTTCCACTTCTCTAACTGGTATAAACCGATAAGTACCATGCGTTGGAGTCGAGGAAAGCCTTCGACAATGCAATGCATTTCCTTCCCCATGTACGCATGAAACCATAATGCCAAAATTTTGAGCTGCGGCAACCCTTGGAGCTTTCAGAACCCCTCCTCATTCAATTTACTGCGCCTCAAAACCAGCTTGGTGAGATTCGGAAGGCTCCCAAACCAGCTTGGCAGCTTCCCTAACTCTCCATATAGCTCCAATTTCTCAAGAGCCAATGGTGGGCTTGAAACTGCTTCCAAATTTGTGCACTATTTCACTGGCATCATACTTTGCCCGTAGAGAAAGAGAACGCAGGCATTTTAGCTGCCCGATGCAATTGTAGATTGCTCTAATGTCTTTGTCCTCCATATCTTTAATACCTAGTTTCTTGAGGTGGGGGAAATTGCCAAATGGCTCTCGGACCCGGGCGTTACACCCCTCAACGTTTGGAGGAATCTCGAACGCCCTGCATTTAAATACCGTTCCATGGGCCTATGCTTGTCATACTCATAGAAATGTCTCAAACTTGGCAGCTCTAAGCTCCAACTTGAAGTTGAGCGTATCCAGGTCCTACGGTAATAAATATGCTCTGCTCTCAAATCAAGCACGTCCAAGTGTCGAAGTTTTCTTATAGACTTCGGAACTTCTAGGAAAACATAACTTCTTCGAAAACTCAAGTAGCTCACAAGAGCTATACTTACCAATTTCTTTCGGTGCGCATTTAAGAGTAAGATTCTCAAGCAACAATACTCGAACTAGCTTAACATTGAATAGACAATGTTTGGAAATGCATGTGTGCAGTGTATGTGGAAAGAAGAGGAATGAACGAACTTTGGAAGGAGATTTATAGGATGAAACATGGTCATCAATGCTTTTATGGAAAACAAGGCGTCGAGCCCTTTGAGAGGGCATGTTATCTTTATCTGCAACCACCCCTAGGAAGTTCTGCTCCCCAGCAATGCTTAAGCACACTTCACGCAAAAGATCATGCATAGCACAAGATCTGATGCGTCCACTTGAACTCACTCTTTCCACCAGTATCATACTCCGACTAATCAATTCTTCAAGGTAGTCCTCTGCAATGTCTTCCAATATTCATTTCCTCTCTTCTCAATGAGCCCTTCAGCCACCCATAATTGTATTAATTTTGTTCCTTTAATCTTGAAATCTTCTGGGTAAGCCGATAAATATAAAAAACACGGTTTAAGGTAATAAGGTAAATCGAAAAAACTTGATGATAGTATCTTGGAAATTTCGACCTCACCTCTATCTTGATAATGGCTGAATACGTCAAGCACTTTCTGCCATTCTGATGTTGTCCTTGTATCCTCGAACACGAGTTTCCTGGACAATAGAGCACCAATTACGACAAGTGCCAGGGGTAACCCTCCACATCTTTCCACAATGCCATGGCTAATAGACATCAAATATTCTGGGCAATACTCATGGTTCTTTACAAAAGCCCTTATGCAAAACAACTCCCAGCTCTCTTTGTTTGATAATGGTGTAAGACCATGGATGGTGTTCCTTTCCACCATCATAGCCAAATCCTCTTTTCTGGTTGTTATTACAATTCTACTGCCATTATTCGCATCCGGTAGCGCTTCTCTTATACAAACCAAGCATGGATATCCCATACATCATCCAAGACTACTAAATACCTCATTGTGCTCAAATGAGTATGCAGAACCTCTTTCAACTTTTGTTCACTCATATTTTGAACCTCCTTCGACATTTGTTCACCCATATTTTGTAAGCCCTCATGTGACACTAAAACCTTCTTGATCATGCCACGAAATATCTCAATTAAGTCGTAAGTCTGAGATACACAAACCCAATCGAAATAATTGAAGTGTACCTTTATATCATCTCCATTATAGACTTTCTTGATGAGTCGTCTTACCAACTCCACCCATGCCAACCACAGAAACCACGCAGCGTTGCTTCACTCCATCTAGCAATGATCCCTTTAAAAAATTCGCCTTCTCCTCAATCCCCACTAAATCCCGTTCCACTTCAAGAGGTGATGTTTTTCTCATCTCTCTGAACCTTTGGGCTCCAGAACTTGTGGCTTCCCCCAAGTTGCTGCTTTGTGATGGATCATAGACAGGCCTCACCCTTGCAATATGGCCAAGCCTATTACTGATAGCTTCTATTCTCGTACCCACCTCGTGGCGACCTCTCAACTGCAAAATCAAACGCGCACAATTTGTCAAAGAACTCATAAATCCCCTTCTATTTTGTTGCATACCTTGAAGGACAAATGTTTCGATGATGTCCTCGGCCTCATACGCAAGATCTCCTATTTCTTGTACTAAATTTTTTGGTCCTTTATCACCGTCTTCTATCATATCCACATCTCTGAGGAAAGGCGTTCATCCGCCTTAACTCACCCTTAAGCCTGTCGACTTGTTCCCCTATTCCATACAGGAAAACTGCTTCCTGTAGGAGAGGTGTACTTAATGTTTTCAACAAACTTGCAGCTACATCCCCCATTTCCAATCCTTCCCCTGCACTCGATGCCTTCTTTGGCTCTCAAGTGAAAGCAATAACCCCCTGCACTCGATGTTTCCAAGACACAGACACACCGATTACAACTATTTCTTCAACAAATGAGGTTTGTATAAGGTTGTCTCCTTATATAAGGCGTACCTATAAAACTTACTTAGAGATGCCGTTTTGGTATTGAAAATCCTATAATGGCTGCAAAATCTCTTTTTAACCTCATTTATAAAATATAAAATTTCAAAAATAATACACATTCAGCAGATCAAGAAACACTTGAAAATAGACGGTGCAGATAACTTGTTGCAAGATGTACTACTTTTTGAAAATAGACGGTCCAGATCAAGAAAATCTTGAAAATAGACGGTCCAGATAACTTGTTGCAAGATGCACTATTTTTTGGATATGGAATTCTGTTTTTTTCTTCATGTCCATTCATCTGTAGCTCGAGATGATCAGTTGGAGGGTTCTTTGGTGCTAGAACACTCCCCACCATAAGATTTTTGAGGTGCACCTTACTTCAACAGTATACGGTTGCAACCTTATATAAACTTTTTCCATCTAAGAGTGTTTTCAAATGAAAAAAAAAATTGATTTCGAGTTCTTTAACACTTAGATATTACCCTTAAAAAAATAGATAATTTCTTTTAAATCTTGCGACATTGATAGGCACATGGCGTCTGCGGTTTGAAATTTTTGTGGAAAACGCGTTTTTGTGCAGCTGCGGCTTCCTACACAATGGAGTTGACTTGGGGCTTTAAGTTACGTGGGATGAGCTGTTAAGAATGTGAAGCCCCAACACCCATTAACTAAGTTTTTCATGAAAGGAAAAGTTTATATAAGGTTGCAACCTAAATGTAGAATCATAGACGCATCTTAAAAATCCATCGGAAAAAGGTTGTTTTAATGTTTAAAATCCTTCTAATTGATCATCTTGATATCGAGATGTATGAATATTTAAAATAAAAAAAAAGATTTTGAATCTCAGAAATAATGTATCTTGCAACACATTATCTAGACCGTCCATTTTTAAGATTTTCATATATTTATAGATTTACTTGATTTTAACTATTTTTGGAGTTTAAGATTTTATAATTCGATATAAAAATAGATTTTTAGATAATCTTAAAAAAAAATTATACCAAATTACATGTTATGATATAATTTGAAGGTGCGCCTTAACTTGATTATTTAAGGTTGCAACCTTATAGAAACCACACCCTTCATAAAATGATATTTAGTTTGGATCGGAAACAATGTTTTAATTAAAGGAAAAAGTTTTAACGTTGCAACCTTAAAATGTAGAATTACAAATGCACCTCAAAAATCCATCGAAAATGTTGTTTTAATATTGAAAAACCCTCTAATGGATCATCTCAACATCGAGATGTATGAATATGAAAAAAAAAAAAACACGTTTTTGAGTCTCATAAATAGTGCATCTTGCAACACATTATCTAGACCGTCCATTTTCAAGATTTTCATATGTTTATCGATCTACTTGGCTTTAACCATTTTTGGAGTTTAAAATTTTCTAATTAGATATGAAAATAGATTTTAAGATAATCCTAATAATTGTTTACAACAAAAT